AAAATAAACATTTTATTTTAAAAAAGTTTTATACATATATTTTGTAATATAAATAATTTGAAAAATTAGACAACTGGCATGGTTTTCACAATTTATAATGAATTTTATTCGAATTTTAATCGAAAGTCTTTAAAAAAAATATATATATATATATAATTATAGTTGTAAATAATATTTTTTAAAAATAAGAAAATCTTAATTTCTGAAGTTTACTTAATTATTGAATAGATTTTTGTTTAACGAGATATGGTATTTGAATTGATGTAAATTTTTAGTAAACCGATAATTTATTTACGTATATATTTATAATCTATCAAATTCTAATATATTTTCCTCGAGAAAAAATGTGTAAATAGTTTGAAATTACTTATGTTTGCATAAGAGAACGTAAATTTAATTTCATAATTTCTATATATATATAATATTTAATTGAAACTAAAAGTTATATGTATTTGTTTTATAATCTTATCGATATATTATATATTTATATATATATATATATATATATAATTTACATTATTTATTTTACATACCTTATTTACATATTCATACGCCTGCATTTTGCTTGTTATATATATATATATATATATTCGCTAGCTTCCTTGTAAATATAAGCTCATTACATGAAAAGAAAATATGAATTTTAATACACACACACACGCTCGTCGCGTCTAATCGCATATTCTTCTCTGAAGAGTAATTACGTGTGGATGAATAGTTTTTCTTCAATTTTATCTTTTTCTTTTTTTTTTATTTAATTTTCAATTTGAATTGATTTGTTATGTATTTGTAATTTTACCATTCTTCTGCATTTTGACAATATTAATTTTGTTTTATTATTTTTAAGAAGGAATATCTAATGTAAAAGTAATGATACAGGTGATAATGTTCAAGTTTGTGTTGAATGATATCACTGAACAGGTAGTGATATAAAGTACCTGCAAAGTTATGCGTGGAATTTGCACTTTAATGAATCGCGAGTCTGTAAATATTTACTTAAATGAGAAATATTAGTACCACAATATGTGCCTACCGTTCGGGCTTTTTGAGTCGCTGCCTAATAGTCACGCCCTACCTAATAAAATGCACAATACCTAATGTCGACCATATCTCGATCTCCCGATAATTTCCAAAAGTATATGGTCTATTCGTTTATTGAAAGCATATATTTTCAGCAATGTTGATCAATGCCAATAAATAATGGTGAAATATAATTCCCTATTATTTTATTTTACATTAATCTAACTAAAGCGTAAAAATTTTCTTTTTATTCAGATGAATTCGTGGATGAAAAGTCATGGAACACGCATGGTGTTCGGAAACACATGAGACACGAGTGTGTACATTCGGTCTGCTCGTTAATGCTGTTGAGATCGATAAGGTTACGACGCTAATGCACGTAAGATTGAATTTTCATTGCAAATTTATATTGTAGCATAGTTAGTTTGTGTATGGATTTAGAACGAGAAATATCTAAAGTCTTTGATTCGTAGAATTTCACCAGCTAATGGAACATTAGATCATCGCAATTTCCAGACGATAGTTCGCACTTTTAAGATTTTGTCAATTGACCAGCAAATTAATTTTCCTCATTCTACAGTTTTGCAATATCATCGTTTAATATTCACTCGAATTTGATCGAGAATGAGGCCCGATCGTTCGTCAGCTTCCTTGCACATCTATGGGATAGCGATACAACGTTGTGTACAAACTTCCCAAATGTCGCGAATCAGTATCACTACAAGCTCCGCTTATCTTTTCAACAAATTCATTTCATCAACTATTATAAATCAAATATCCAACGTATTTCCAATCAATTTCATCGTACGTTACGTTGTTTTGAAATTTTTACCAATTTATGTGATATTTATATGAACTATAGAGAAACTAAATTTTCTGTACGAATATAAAATGAGCTATAAATTGAAAATTACGATAAGAAACAATACGATTGCACTTTTGAACAAGTCAGTTAATTTCATGCATGTAGTTTTGTTTAGAAATACCAATTTAATTCATAACTAATAACTTTATAAAGTTATCAAATACCTTGGCATTTTTAGAAATACTTAAAACAACAGCCATGGGCTACAAATTAAATAAATTTCTTGAATGTATCATACGAAGTGGTCATAATTCAACGCAGAAATTTTAATGCGATATGTTATATATGATATCGGTGAACAAAATCGATATCGCCACATAATATTGATTATTATATGCACCGCACATATAAAAAATATGCACTTGCTTTGACTAGTTTTTTTTTAATTTTTTTATATTACATTCTATTGTTACTAGGCATGGAGATGATTAAAATATAGATCGCCATTGTGATTTATTATCAATTTATTAACGTATTTTTTAATGTCTGCTCTATTATATGACTATGATTAATAATGAATACCAAGTTATTTGTAAGAGTGTGAGAGAAGGAAGCAGCATATGGAAAGTCGGAAAAGACTGTTTTGTACGAGCGATATGTTCATCAGGAATTGGCGAATCAGGGAGCGCGACAGACCGTTAAATTATAGTTAAATAATAAAAGAAACTCATTTGCCACGACTTTCGTTCTCGAGCTTCTTACATTACAAAAGCATTGAATATCATTTTCTTGCTTCTTTTCGTTGTCTGTTTAATTTTTCTTTTAACGTTGGCACGAACGTGTATTTCTGGAAAAAATTATTTTTCGAAGGCATCAAAGTCGAGGACTTTTTATTGGAAGTGCATGCACGATGAGAATGCATCGAAAGAGAAGTTTAAGCATAAAATTTGAGATACGTCGATTATTTCAGCAAGCGATTCGTGATGGATTGAGTTTTCCATCTCTCAAGGCAGCAGTGAGGTCGTCCGTCAATAGGCGAGCGCGACATGTTTGCCCATTCGGCGCTGGTCCTAATGAAAGCGTAGGTGACTCCGCTCGTCCCGTTCTGCCATCTCGGGGAATAATCGCTAGCTCGTTTGATCAGTGGGGGTGGGGGTTGGACTGGGTTGGCTGGTATGACAAAGACTCCGCAGAGAGAAGAGGATCGCTCCAGCGAGGAGCCGCAGAGGCGCGTGGCCCACGGTGCACCTGTTGCGTGCGAGGGAGGCGTGGATGCGCGGGCCGCCACGGAGCGGTGAACGTCTCCAATGGTCCGTACCGACGTAGAACCGCCTCGACGGCCGTCTCGGCCACACCTCCTCGCCTCTGCCCCCCGCCCCCGCCTACGTTGATTCGAGCCGAGGCGGGATGCTCCCCCTGCCGTCACGAGCGAATGAGATGCGCGGCTGGCCCCTTCCGTCGCGGCTTCACCGCCGCCGCTCGGCGAGGTCTACCTCCCCGTGCCCCGCCAAAATTCGCTGACGCCCCGGCCGCCGTCGTCCTTCCCGGCATGGTCGACTCTACGGGTATCCCCACCCTCCGTCGTAAATCGTAACTCACCGCGGTCGAATCCGGCGGCGCGCCTTAACCCTTCGCCGGGGGCTTCCGTTCGCAGGTGCAGCTTCATCGCCGATTCCGACTATTCCCTACTTCCCCACGGCTCCCTCTCCGTCCAATAACACCCTCCACCCCGCACTTGGTGGATTTGCGAGGCCATTCTTTCGCGGTGGCAGCCGATCCATTTCATCCCATTCTACTTTACCGGCGCTCAAGCTACTCTCCCCAAAATCGAGCGCTCGGCAATGCAACTTCCGAGGAGACTGCAAGCCCTGTAAGCAAGCCTCGTCCAGCAATTTCAATTTCAGGATAAGGATAAGCGCGGTGGTTCGGGTGACACCGAGTAGTGCGCGTGCGCACATGCACAAAAAAGAGTTCTGCGCGAGAGAAGGAGTGGCAGGAGAGGACTGATAAAATCTTTCCTACAGCGAGCCTCGCTTTTTTCCCACAATCGACAACTCTTTCCTGATAACGCTCCTAAGGCGCGATGATAACCAAGTAATCGCGCTTAAAGTCGCGCAATCGATCAATTGAATAGTTCGTTAGTCAGGGTCCTGTGGTAGAACCGTTCCTCAGGGAAGGGAAGGCCATCGAGAGTCGCGAATCCGCTGCATCCTCGGAGAATTTCAGAAAATTTCAAAAAGTGCATTATCACACGAGTGCAAGCGAACAAATAATTACGCGTATAATTTTTCTCTCCTCTCATCCTGTCGCGCTCTCGAAAATCCATAGGGCTTGAAACGATTGCCTCTACCGCCACCGTCACCGCCACCGCCGTCTCCGCCACCGCCACCACCGTCTCCGACGCCGCCACCACCGTCACCGCCGGCACCGTTTCCGACACCGCCACTGTCACCGCCACCACCACCGCCACCTCAACCACAGTCATACACGAGCACGCGCGTCTAAATCAGAGGGAGAACGATTTTAGAGTGACAAGGAGCGAGCGTGGAGGAGTGAGAGGGCGAGAGAGAAAGAGAGAGCGAGAATGTCAACGCGAGCGTGAGCGTGGTAGAGGTGGGAGGGCGGGGGAGGGAGTGACGGAGAGAGAAGGAGGCGAGCAGCGATTGGAAGTGGCTGCTGCGGTGGCGGTGGCAGCGTTGCCCCGCGCGCGACGAGATGGAAGACTGCAGTCGGAGATTTCTTATTTCTGCTCGGGTAAATCTGTCGTCTCAGTCAGTGAGACAGAGCAGGGCGAACCGGCCCGAGAAGTGGCTTCGTCGTCTCCTCTCCTTTCTCCCGTCTCGTCCACGTTCGTGCGCTAGAGCCGCGGCCGGGCAGCGCAACAATACCGGCCTGACCGCGAGATAATGACTTATCGCCGTCCGCGGGGAGACGACGACCATCCTGTCCTCCCCGGTGCCAACGTTTCTCTAGCCGCTATCCGAGTGCGCGAGTGCCACTGACGTCCAGTTTCTGTACCCCTCCCCCCTTTTGTTATTCACACACACAAACACACGCACGTACGCACGCACGCACACACGCACACGCACACCATACTGTCTCTATATATTTATCTCCCTCTCTACCCTCTCCTTCCCTCGCCCCGTCCGCTTACTCTGTCTTTCATTCTCATTCTCATTCTCATTCACTCACTCTCATTCACTCATTCTCACGATTGCGGGAGAGCGTGTGAGCACGCATCAGCAATCCCGCGATGGACCAGCGGCGGCCGCTCGCCAAGTGACGACGAACACGACGAGGACGATACGACGAGGAGAAGAGCCTGCGAAACTTCCAGCCGAGCGATCTAGCGATCGAAGTAGAAGTGGTCGACTCGAGCCGACGGATAGCCCGAGCATTTGCGCGCGACCGTCGGCAGCCGCTCCCCGATGGATTCTATTTTATTAGGTAAGAGCGCGCTCCGACGATTGCCGTTCGCGCGAGATAAGATAAAAGCTCGCAGATTTGCTCGAGTCCTTTACGCCTTTCCTCTATGCAATATTTACACTCAAAGTTCAGGGACGCGCTCGCGGCTGCCTAACACCTCCGCACCCTTCCCAATCTAGGCATCCCGCCCGAGTTCTCGTACTATCGCCTTTGCTCGTTTGCATTATCGTTTGATTGACCCATTTTTCTTGTAAAACTCTACACAGGCACGTACGCATAGAAAGGAAGAGGGGGCGGAAGAGAGCGGTGATGAAAGATAGAGATTTACGGGCCTAGAGAGAGAGACGGTGATGAGAGAGAGAGATTGGGGCGCAGAGAGAGAGAGAGAGAGAGAGAGAGAGAGAGAGAGAGAGAGAGAGAGAGAGTGACACCGAAATTGAGATACGGCGATGGATAAAGTTCGTGTGTGTGGATGTGCATGTGTTGGTTCTTATAATTTTGTTTTTATTCAACCCGCGGAGAAGATGAAATTTTCCTCTATCCATCGCATTCGAATAGCGCATACAAACTTCGCACTCCTTGCGGAAAATTTCCCGAGCTTCTATCTCTCTTACACAATACGTAGAGCTGGCTAGAGCATTTTGCATGCGTTATTTTTCTACGGCACTCGGAATCTCAGTATCTTTCGTCTCATCTCTAGTGCCGCTTTAAGCGCGGCTCGCCTTTGATTTACATTACGGATTCGCTTGGACGAGCTTGTGTTCAAAGCACATCATCCATCTTAGGCTTGGGTGACTTTTTCAGTTTTTGTGAGACAATGACTTGAAAGAGCACGTTTAATCAACTTCCAGCATCACCCGATTATTTTCAGCATCAAGCGAAGTTGAAAGGATGAGGCGCGGGAGGGGCTGACAGTATAGGTTACGCAAATCGAATAAGCCAGGCGCATGAACGTCGATATAAAAGGGCGGAAACAAATAGAATCTAAAGGCCATGGTTAAGAAGCTAAAACATATTTATAGATAAGAGATAGTGTGAGAGAGACAGAGAGGCAGAGAGATAGAGAGAGAGAGAGAGAGAGAGAGAGAGACGCAGTAGAGGTGGGGAGAGGGAGTTGGGTTAGGAAGGAGAGGATCCAAGGAGATAATGGATCAGGCAGCTGATTGCTGCACGGAGCGATTGGACAGCTGCGCCGTCGGGAACACGGAGGCTGAATCGCGTAGGCTCGGAGGTATAGGAGGAGGACCTATCGGCGTGGCAGTCGTCATACGTGTGTTGAAGCGCTCGTCACTCGCGTAGATTCATTAGCGTCAATTAGTCGTGTTTGTTGGGCAAATAAAAGTGGAGGATTTTGGAAAGGGTGCGACGCTCCCGAGACGGTTTATCCGATCTAGGCTCCCGAGCCTAGATGACAAAGGACTCGGCAAACACGTGGCGGACGACTCTGGCGCAGGATGCACCCGGCGCCCCGATGCACACGGTCACCTTTTCGGCATTTACCTAGGCGGTTGCTTACCTGACTTTGTTCCCGTCCGTTTACCTACATCTCGTAATCCCGCGGTAGTACAAATTCATTAGCTAGCGAGCTCACTCAAGTGCAAACACAACCGCTACTTCCCACTCTTCGTAATCTCCGACTTTCTTTATCCTCCTTTTTCGACTTTTGTTTTAACTGGAGCCTTGTCCATCTTTATAAGCGAGCGGTGCTCGGTGAACTTGTCCATCGAGTCTGTCTGAGCTCGAATTCCCAAACGGAATGAATTATCATGCCAGAATTTTTCTGAATTTCTCCGGCTCGCGGCGAGTGAGGGCCGAGTGCGCAATATTTGTCCTTCTCTCTCATAAGGATGTCAAATACAACGTAATTATTATTCGCTTTGTGCGACAATAGGCCTGCTTATTCATTGGGAAAATATTTTCATTTTATTTCAGTATGAAAATATTCGTTGTCTCTAGGGGCTGGGTGGGCAGGGGAGGGTGACTCGTTCATTCCATATTTTTCAACAAAATTATCAGCCCTTTATATTTAATGTCTGCATTTTAATGCGAGCAAATGCAGAGAAAATATAATAGCGGCAATACAGTATCGAATAAAATATGAAGCACGGCTATAAAATCTTTATAACAACAATCGTAATAGGAAAAAAGCGTGCATTATGTAAGTCTACTTGAGACGAAAAGTATTAAACAAAAACAAAACAAAAAATACAAATGCTAATCATTATATTTTAACGCTTTTTCTGCTTTCTACCATGCGGTTTCCAATACCATGAGGTTTTCGACTTGATGGTAACATTTTGTGCACAGGACGCTTTAAACTTTATAAAATACCAACATTCCTCATGACTGAGAATTGCTTACATTTGCAATTATGTTAGATGCACTTGACTAGCTTTTGTCACATTTACAAACAATTATTTGTACGCTATTTGCACGCTAAAATATTTAGAATCGGCTGGATAATAATATCCGATTAAATTATAAAAACAATTTCATTCAACACCTGTCCTCTATCACAACTGCTTCCTATCTAATAATATTTTTTTCATAATAGTAAAATTATTGAATACAAATGGTCGTACGTTGATCATTTTCATTGTGACAATCGAGTTGCTCAACGCACCTTTTACCCGCCTTTTACCCACCTTTTTTCATTCAACCGATCTCTCGTGCAAAACATCACTGGGCATTATCAAATTTCAATTATCTCGAATTTACGGATCGTCGACATCACCTAGTAAAAAAAATAGAGAGAAAAAAGCATAAATTTAGAGAAAGAGGAAGAAAAAATTCTCACATAAAATATAGTCTTCCATACGACGTGAATTCATAATAAACGAACGTAAAACTTATTACTCAGTTGTATTAAGACGTGGCGAGAGAGTTGCGCACGAACTTTATTCCTACAGCTTTACAACGCACATTAAATCACAAGATTCTAATACCCTAACGCGCCAGGAATATTGGACGAATGGGTTTCCCATAAGCCCTTAAACCTGCAAATGCCGTCGAGGAATTGGTTGACGCTGGAATTCCGGCGTTATTATTCCTGGGCTCGAGTCATTCGAGCAGTGCGAAGTCGCGGGTCCAATGACAGACGCTGAGCTGTGTGTGATGAGGCCTCACTTCGTTAGGGGCTGAGCCGTGGTGGAAGGGGCACGGGGGAGTGGCTCTTAGCGCTTGAAAACTACAGGTCGATACTAGTAAGGATTCTGCGGGTCTTGGTCTTGGCGTGATAGAGTCTACCAGGCGAGACTACCAATAGGGCGCCGGAGACCAGGAAGCCGCTTGTTTTTAAAAGGCGATTCGCATCGGCGAGCGAAAAGCCGCGGTCGAGGTCGGCCAGGGAAAAGCTGGCGCTCGCGACCTCTTCGAGCCCCTTCCCCCAACCACCCAACCCAACCAACCCCACCGTAATTTACGCGCCCAGGCGCTCAGGTCCGATCGTCGGGAATTAGAGAGAGAGAGAGTGGCGGCGGCATGGAAGCGACGGCGTCGGGGTTATTGAGCGCGGGGCCCGCAAATCGAAGGGGCCGAGGGAGTTGGATGAAAAACAGACCGCAATAAATCACGACCGTATAGGCGCGAGCAGTCCCGATAAATTCAATCAACGCGCACGAAGCTTCGTTTGACATTTCACTCAGTCGCGCGCAGATGCAAACCGCGCGAGAACGCACGCGCGAGCTATATAGTAATCGAAATGCATCGGCGGCACAAAAGTGAGTAAAACGATCGGGGGCAGCGATACGTGAGAATCGGTAAGAGGAGGCTGGACGTCGGACATGCGTGAGAGGGGGGTTGTGTTCGTGGTGGTGGTGGTGGTGGTATTCGTGGTGACGATGAGGATGTAGCTGATGCTGATGGTGATGGTGATGGTGTTGATGGTACTGATATTGATGGTAGTGGTGATGGTGGCGGTCTCCGGTAGGGTAATAGGGCCTCAAGGCCAATAAAACTGAGCTAACCAACCAACCAGCCAGCCAGCCAGCCAGCCAGCCAGCCAATATAGCCCGCGATGATGATGAAGATTATTATTTTTACGAGCAGTGTCGTTATTGTTTTTGCAGCTCTTGTGGATCTCGTGTTACCCGCGACGGCAGTCCTCGTCGCCTCGTGAGAGAGTCTGCGGGAACCCGGGGTAGATGAGGGGAGGAGGGGCGGCCAATGGCCGGGTCGCGAGCTCTTATAACGTAATTACCAGCCGTGCCGTTGACGCGAATCTCGGCGAGTCAAGTGTCCGCCATTAAGGAGCCTCCGGGCTCCAGCATTATCCTTGCCTCTCCTTCCCCCCATCCTTCCCTACTCTACCCCCTGCCCCTGTCCCGGCGCCGTTGGATCGGCGACGGCGATCGCGTCCACGCGCGCACGTTCTTCGACTGCCCTGCGGCTCGATCGACGCGCGGCGGAGTCGAGAGGGACAGCGAAAGGGCGCCATTAATTGTTCGTTGAGCCGCCCGATGGATTAATCGCACTCGCGCTCGAGGAAACTCCGGACTCGGCGACTTGTTTATACAAATGCAGGAGAGAGGTCGGAAAGATTAGCTTTTCGAAAATAAAAGGAATGACTTTCCAGAACATTAAATCTCTCGTCATCTCTGATTTTCTAAACATCGGACTTTCCCTCGTCCTTTCAAAACATAAACTCGCGCTCCAAGATCGGCTGAGACGGGACGAGACGGGACACGACGGGACGGGACGGGACGAGGCGTTCTCTTTCAGCCTTCTTTTAAATTGAATTTTTATTCCTTCACCTTTCCATCCTTATATCCGTCCTATGTAATTAATATCTTTCGACTGGCCTGCCATCTTAGGCAATCCACCCACGTGCATTGAATTTTTAATTATGTACGCAAGCGCTCCTTCACTCATTGACCACCGGTCTATTCATTTCATTTGCCCTTAACGTTCGATGCAAATCGATCTGTTTACTAAATATTCGCCACCAAAATAATCAAGATAATCGATAGGATAGACATGATTAAATAATATTACTTTGTATACAACGGCCTTTATCTCAGCCG